GCACAACCAGCGGCTGCGGTATTGACCACAGACAGGAGGGAAGCATTTGCTAGACGACTCCAGATAAAGCAAAGACTAGGAGTGTAAAAATACCCTGGGATTTTTCCATCGTCGTTCACGGTATACATCCCAGAGCACCAGATATGGTTGTTATAAAAAGAGAAGTGGGGGAGTGCTTCATCGTGGACTTTTCTGTTCTGTTTCATGAGACTCTTCCACTGCAAATTTAAGGAAGGATTGAAAATACATGATCAGTTCTGACAGGGGCTGGAGGAAGCCTGGGACGTGCGAGGTGCTGCACTGTGTACTGGAGATGGAGCAATGGAGGTATTGCATCAGCACCACATGCCCCTGACATTATTAGCCTGCAGATTTCTTGGAAAGTGACAGCAGCAGCCCAGCCCCACGCATCTGCTCAGGGTCAGAGCAGTGCTGGGGTGGCAGCATGGGCTGGTGCAATGGCTTGTGCTGATGGAGAATGGTGTCACTCAGGAAGGCAGGGATGACTGCAGCATGGCGGCAGCAGTCCTGGCATCACTCAATCTAGCGTGCAGGACGGGGAAAGTGATTGGGAAGGGCAGCCCAGGCTTGCAGGACTAGAGGTGGCTCTTGGCCCCTGGAGACCCTGGCTGGCAGCTTCAATGCTGCAAGACAGCAGTTGCAATGCCCACACTGCAGTGGCTTCCCAAAGTGCTTGGGGGCTTCCTCAGGCCATGAAATATGTGGGTGTTCATGTCTGCTGGGGGCAGGACAGCAGAGGGATGGGGAGGCATCCCTCCAGACTGCAGTCTCCTGTCTAGCATCTCCCAGGGTGCCCCATGCTGCGCTCACCAGCATGGTTTCATCCCACTCTTCGGGAGCTGCCACTGACCCTCCAGCATCACCCTCTACATGTGGGTCCCAGGAGGCAGAGCAAGCTCCAAGAAAGGTCCCTGGGCATGGTCTAGGATTTTCATCTCTGTTCTTGGCTAGGCTTTCGTCCCCCTCACCCATGTGACAGGCAGCTGCCTGTTTGGGACATGAATGTCATCCCCTTTTGCTGGAGGTAACTCTCAGCTTTCCCCTTTCATCCCACTTGTGTTTCAGGTTTCCAAGGAACAAGGACCATTTCACAGACATTTGAATGGAGCTTGCATAAGGTTCAGGCTCCTAGTACAGCCCTGGCCTTTCTGAGATGGCGGTATCCATTTTGCAGGCAGGGATGTCAGTGGTGGTCCCAGGCAACCAGCTGCTGAGGAGGGACGGTGGCTACATCACCTCCAGGTGTGGCATCTCTGGGGGGCTAATGTGAATGCTGGCCCAATGCGATGGCATTCCCCAGCCCAGGGCTTCTCGCCTGCCTGTCTGTCTTTCCCATGGCGACACCGTGCGCTTGTGGGGGTGTGTTGGGGTGGAAGTGGTAAGTGGGTTTATTTTTGTTCGTCTCCTGGCTCGTGCCGCTCTGAGTTTGCGGCGCCCAGTATTACTAACGCTTCCCTGCGCCAGCTGGCAGCAGAGGATGAATCAGATCAGCAGCACCATGGTGCAGACCCCTCGCTGGCCAGCTGGCTCAGGGTGATGCCTCTGGTCAAAGGGCTGGTGATGTCTCCTGCCTCTGCCCAGGCTGACCCCAGCGGCTTGATCTTACTGCTGGAGATGTCTTGGTAGCCTGTGGGGCAGGATTGTCCCCTCCACCCCATGCTGCCTGCCCAGGACCAGCTGCTTCCTGTCCCAGCTTCATGCTGGAGGTCTCAGGTGGCTTCATGAGCTTCTCTTTGCCCTCCGGCAGCATTCCTGAGCTGGGGTCAGCTCTATGGCCATGAGGATCTATCCATGTCTTTCTGCTGCCGAAAAAAGCATTTTTGCAGTTGATCCGTTCCTTTCTGATCATGATCTCGCAGCAGGCAGTGACATCACAGACCTTGGTGATTCCTGGTCTCCCCATAGCAAAGACACAGAGATGTTTAGTCCTCTTCCCCGCTCTCTCCTGAACACTCTGGTGGTCTAAATGGAGGGATTTCAGTGACTGCCTCTTCCTGCACAAGCATCACTGAGTCTGCAGAAGTTGGCACAGCGCTGGTCAGTGTCACTTGCCTGCATGATCCGGGCTCCAGGAAGATAATCTGTATCCTCTCACTTGCTGCAGCCCAAAACGTCCTCAAAAATGTCATGGCTGCTTGGCATCTCTGGGAAAATGGAGAGGGTCTGCCCAGAATCGCAAGACTTGGAAAATGATGATGACAGTGATGACAAACTCCACTACCCCTGCCTCTCCGCATGCCCACCACCCTCGTGCACGAGCTGTGACAGCTTGGGTGACAGTCAGGTGGAAGATCTTGAAGAACCCATCCCATTTTCCCTAAATCCCTGGCACTCTTATGTGGTGAAAGATGAAGGCGTGAAAAATAGAATGTATGCCAAGAGGTTGGCCAAGCATACACTGTAACTTGAGGAGGAAACCCAGGAATTTCAGGACCCATTTTAAAAAAACATAGAAGTGCCTGGCAGCTTGTCCGAAGATGAGGACCACAGCTGGACCTGTCACCTTCCTGCGCATCAAAGGTCACATGTTCTCCAAACTGCCAGTACAGCACTGTGTGGCTCCTATGACCATTTCCAGAGTAGCGTGGGCAAGCATTTGGGGATGGATGCCTTTACCCTATGGACCCATGCCAGTGACCCTTATCTGGGGTACCCAGAGTGCACCAGGGAAACAGCCCCACATGCTGCACGATGAGGCCATCAGGGACAGGGAGTTTGCATCCTTGCAGGGGACCAACGATGTGATCAAGGAGGAGAACACCATGCTCAGGAGGATAGCCAGGAGCATGCAGAACTCCTTGGAGAGCCAGGCATGTACAGTGCAGAGGCTGGAGAGGCAGCTGGAGGCCAGCCAGGCCAAAGAGGAGAGAAAAGACCAAGAGTTACAGTCCTTTATCCAGCGACCTGAGTGGAGTCTCCAGCTAATGACCCAGCGGGCTCTGGAGGCAGGACGCAATGTGGAGAAGCTGAAGCAGGAAATTTTTATTCTCCAGGGAAAGCTGGAGAGCTCCAAGGTGGAAAACAAAAACCTGAGAGTGGGCCAAACAACCGACCTGGACGCAGTGAAGCACAACATAGACTTCGCTTTGCAGAATCTCCACAAGATAATAGCAGACACAAACCTGTCCATCAGACAGCTCACCTCTGGAGTGATGTCACTGCATCTTGTTACAGAGGTCCTTAAATCTACCGGCAAAATTTCTGAAGCTGAAGCAGAAAAAGAGCAATGAACTCTATTCTGTGTGGGTCTTATGCATGAGTGTATGGACCGAGACATGGGTCTCCCACTACAACCTATACTAAAACCATTTGCTCTCCCATGCTTTAATGTGTGTGTTTAGTTTTGTAGCCTTTATTCTTGATGTAAATACTTTTCTTGTGATTAAGTACAAATTGCAGGTAGTAATGTAGTTTTAGCTGCTGATGCTCTCTTCTGCAACTGTGGAGCCAGTGGTGAATATTTCCCAGGCTCTGAGCTGCAAGGTCCAGCTGTGATGGCCTCTGCCCAAGAGGCTGTGCCACAGCTCTGGCTGATTAGAGTTCCTGTGTGGGAGCCAGGAGGAAGCACAGCAGCACAGTGTGCAGCGCTCTTAAACAGTGTGCCCATCTCTTCCTGTAGCTGTACCAGCCAGAACCGGAGGTGAGCAAAGTCTTTGCATTTCATCTGCTTCCTTTGCCCATTCTTGGTGAGGTGGGGAAGGCAAGGAGCAGAGATCTGGGTGGTTTCAGTGAGCAGAAGCTCCTTAGGTCCTCCCTCTTTTTTTTTGGAAATGGCCACTGCTTGTGCCAGAAATAAAAAGTTGCTAGAAATTGCTCACCTGTCCCTGCAGCTGGGGAAAGGGTGGTGGTGGTGGCCAGAAACCTTTAGGAAGTTGTGAAGTTTCCGTATGTGTGAACTGCAGTAGTACTTTTCCTCCAGTATTAGTGTCAGTGCTGGCTAGGGATGAGCTTGGCTTATCTGGCCTGGCTAAGGAAGGTGCCAGTTGGAGACAATGCCCTTCCTCTTCTGGCTGGAGGTGACGTGGGGGGTATACCTAAATTGTCTGCCTTTTTGTAAGCTCCTAAATACTTGTGGAACCCTGCAGTCCAAACTCACCATGCAATCACTGAAGAGAAGTCTTAGCTTTATTCTAGCAGTACCATCTGTGTCATGAAGTGACCTTTCTTCATCACCTGGTCATCCCTCAACATTACTGATTAATTTAGGCTACCAACCCCAGTTTCTGCTGTAGGTTTACCAGCTGCACAACAAAATTTCCTGTATTTGGCCAAACCAACCCTCCTTAAAGACTTGGATGTTATAGGCCAGTAAGGGGGTGGGTGCTGGCACAGTTCAGTGCCAAAGTTTTCTTTTCTGATGGGAATTTCTGAACAGCTGTTCACTTTTACCTCTATATGGTGACCACAAGGTTGCTGTTTTCTTATGTCCCATAATATCCTTGGTCTGAACAACCATGTTTGTATTTGCCACAGAGCTTAAACTGCCTCAGTAACCTTGGCCTCTGAAGGAGAGACTGCTGGTTAATCTTCATCCCAGACATGACAACGACAGTGCTTGCACATTAGAGGGGATGTCTGGAGCTCCTTACCTGCTGCTTTCTATTCTGTGCTCCTAACTGGGGATAGCTGGTGGTCACCCTTAGTCACATGAAGCCCTGTTCTGTGACATGGATGATGAGACAAGGATGGTTCTCACCAGCTTTTCCATTCCAGACAACACCACTTGCTGTTCCTCTCTCCTGTCCGTGCATGACCACAAGCAAGCAGCTCTAAACCTTAGATTTGACCCAGAAATCCTTAGATTTATCCCAGATATGGCAACCACTGGTTGCTCATCGGTGAGGTTGGGAGGAAGCGAACTAGCTGGCTCTGTCTGCATCCTGCACTCCACACTGGCTGCTGTAATCCAAAGGTTACAGTGCAGGATTAGCATGGGTGTACAAAGCCTTTCCTAATCTGTGAGTCATCACCCCCTCACTGCATTTCACTTCCCAGCAGCTCCAGGAAGGTGGGATAGGTCGGCTCTTGAGTCTTCAGCTTCCCCATTCCTCAGTTCGGGGAGGACCGGGTCGGGATGTAACGTCTGCTGGACACTCTCCCCAGGGCTCTGCCGCTGAGCCACTCCTTGGATGCTGTACACAGGGCATGTCGCAAGGTCTGTTTGCTCTAACCGGCTTCTCCTCAGCTACCCTTAAACCCTTCCTTTCCATCAGTTCTCCTTTTTGGTTCTACCTATCACTTTTCTTCTCTTTGAAACAGGGGGGATGTTATGCACCCTCTGGAAATAAATCCCCTCTGGGTCAGGCTGGGCTGATGGGGATCCCTGAGGGCTGCTGTGCATGTCCGTGCTTTGTCAGTCCTTGTGTGCGAGGTATTTAGCCCGGCTGAGCTCTCATCCTAGTGTAAGCTATGATATTAATATAATGGCTCAGGGCAAGGGCCCTGCAAGCTGCTCAACCATTGTGCCCTTGATCTGAAGACCGGTGACCGGCTGGCCCTGCACCTCTCCCAGCCCTGTGGACACCTCTAGACCCCTTCTGGGCAAAAGGCTGGAAGCCCTGCACCCCTACTCTGGGACTGGGATGGGTGTTGTCAGAGGAGGTTCTGACTGGGTTTTGCTTCATCATTCCCTGCAAGGTGCATGCCCAGGAGCGATTGCAATGGCAGTGGGGGTCCCAGCTTACCAGAGGTGAAACCTGGAGCTGCCCGGTCCCATGTGAGTGCTGCTGCATGAGATCCCACGCCCTCCCAGCCCCTGCAGCCCCCTGACACCTGATGATACAGCGAGCCATGGGCAGTGTCCGAGTGAACCGGTGAGTAACCCTCCTCTAAAGGACTGCTGCTGCCCTGGGTGGCCTGGTCCTCCTCATATGATCCCCCAGGCCCTACCTTCAGCCTGCCTTTTGGTATGTTCTTCTCAAATTACCTGCCGGGGGCTTTCCTGCTCCAAGGTATGGCTCCTCTCTCCTTCTCCAATCCAAAACATGCCATAAGGGGGGCAGTGCTTGGAGGAGTATTATAGAGGAGAAGTACAGTGCTGCATGATGCTGGACCAGAAATTACAGATTCCAACAGAGCTGCAGAAGCCCCATGTCCTCAGGAATCACAACTGCAGCTACCAGTGCTTCCCTCAATGTCAGATGAGGATGGGAGTCATGAAGCTCATGCTGGAGGGCTCCAGCTGACAGGTCAACACAATGGGGTGGGAGAGAGACGCTGCCAGCCTGAGGGGTCCTGGGAGGCTACAGCTCGGGGATCACGTGGGCAGAGTGGTCTTGGTGAGTCTGTGCACTGGCTTGGTTTCCTCAGTGGTCAGAGCATCTTCTGCCATCATATCTTTAAGGAGTATCTGCAACCATCCCAGAAGCACATGAGCGGCAGCAGGAGTGCTGCCTGTGAGGGAGGGGAGCAGGAGGGGCAAGTGTCTCCCAGAAAGTGTACATGGAGCTTCTGCCAGGGAAACTGCCAGTGCTTTGGCTGTTGATCTCCAAATTACACCTTTGGCTTCAGATGTGGGATGCTGGGAGCCACACACGTTGCTGTGGCAACAGAATTGTCCTGAGTTCAGGAAGTGTATGAACATTGTCACCAACACACCATGAAATCAGTGAGAAGAGCGGAGGAGAAAATAGAAACTCCCAGCCTTATGTAATGTTAGGGCCAAAATGTGGCCAGACGGTGGGTGTTTGCTCTCAGGATTCCCAGCTGTACCAGCTGCCATCAGGTTTGGAAGCCTCAGATTCCTCCTCACTACAAAGGCTGGAAGGTAGCACAGCGCTACAATCTTCTCCTGCTTTGCTGGCCTATCGGGACTTTGCTAGATACAACCTTCTGGCAGCAAGACTTGGCAAATACTGCAGCTGAGCTCCACCAATTTGGTCAGGGTGGCCAAATAACCAGGAAAAAGTGCTGTTGTGATATTCAACACTGCGGTACCGTAGCCCTGTGAGCCACCCACATGTCTCCCGCCCTCACTGTCTCAGTAGTTGCTGTCATTCTTCATGTATTTCTGCTGGAAATGTCTGTTTCTTCTCTTCCAGGTACAGCATTGTCTCGACTGAAGAGGATGGACACAAGGTCTCTGCGCTGGGCAGCATGAATGGGCACAGCCGGAATGGGAAGGGCCATGTCCCCCGGAGGAAGCACCGCAACCGTTTTGTGAAAAAGAATGGCCAGTGCAATGTCTACTTTGCCAACCTGAGCAACAAGTCTCAGCGCTACATGGCTGACATCTTCACCACTTGTGTGGACACACGCTGGCGGTACATGCTGATGATCTTCTCTGCCGCCTTCCTGGTCTCCTGGCTTTTCTTTGGCTTCCTCTTCTGGTGCATTGCTTTCTTTCATGGTGACCTCAATGCACAGGTGGTGGGAGGTGGTCCCTCTCTCCTCAAGCCCTGCATCATGCACGTGAACAGCTTCCTAGGGGCTTTTCTTTTCTCAGTGGAGACACAGACAACCATTGGGTATGGCTTCCGCTGCGTGACTGAGGAGTGCCCGCTGGCTATCATGGCAGTTGTAGTCCAGTCCATCGTGGGCTGTGTTATTGACTCCTTCATGATTGGCACTATCATGGCCAAGATGGCAAGGCCCAAGAAGCGGGCCCAGACCCTCCTTTTCAGTCACCATGCAGTCATCTCCGTGCGGGATGGCAAACTGTGCCTCATGTGGCGGGTGGGAAACCTGAGGAGGAGCCACATTGTGGAGGCCCACGTCCGAGCCCAGCTCATCAAGCCCTACATGACAGAGGAAGGGGAATACCTCCCCCTGGACCAGCGGGACCTAAATGTGGGTTACGATGTGGGCCTTGATCGTATATTTTTGGTCTCACCCATTATTATCGTTCATGAGATTGATGAGGAGAGCCCACTCTATGGGATTGGCAAGGAGGAGCTGGAGACAGAGAACTTTGAGATTGTTGTTATTCTGGAGGGGATGGTGGAAGCCACAGCCATGACCACACAGGCACGAAGCTCTTACCTCGCTAGTGAAATCCTTTGGGGTCATCGTTTTGAACCAGTTGTGTTTGAGGAGAAGAACCACTACAAAGTGGATTATTCGCGCTTTCATAAGACCTATGAGGTAGCTGGCACGCCTTGTTGTTCAGCCCGGGAGCTGCAAGAAAGCAAGATGACTATCCTACCTTCTCCCCCACCTCCCAGTGCCTTCTGCTATGAGAATGAGCTGGCTCTTGTCAGTCAAGATGAAGATGAAGACGATGACGAAGTGGGTGTGGTGTTAGGGGGCAACACCAAGGAGGAGGGAGGCGTTATCCAGATGATGGATTTTGGAAGCCACCTGGACCTGGAGCGGCTCCAGGCAACTCTGCCCCTAGATACAATCTCATACCGCAGGGAGTCAGCCATCTAACTCTTCCAGATTCCCCTTTCCACACCCGTCGTCCACTGTCTCCTCCTCCGTTCTACACCCTTATGTAGCTGGATAAGTCCCTTGCCCACCAAAAAATGCCTCCTATGACTGTCTCTCAGCCCCTGAGTACATCAAGTCCTGGAGCTGCTCTGATATAGCCCCTTTCCTGTGAAGTCATACTGCCTGGAAGAGGAGTGAGGATACACTACTCTTCCCATGTGTGCGGCTTGTGCTAGGACCCCTTTCCCACCCAGAGACAGGAGAGCAGCATGCCTGGTTTCTCATCTCTGGAGAGGTGACAGAGGTCCCTGCCCTCAACGGACAGACTGGGACCCACAGCAACTGTTTCTGCTGCTGAGGCAACAGCAGACTTTCTGTCCCTTCTCAACGTGGGCAGGCCCCATGGCTGTCAAGAGTCATAACCATCACTAGGAGAGGAGCAATACCTAAGCACTGACCAGATGAGGATGAATGGGAGGATTTAGAACTCTGGAGGGAGTGGGGAATGATCTCAAGGGAGGGGTTTACTTGCATGTTTATTGCTTGTTGCACATGACTCTTTCTTTGTATATAAAACAGAATGAGAACTGAAATCCATATTCTTCCACTGCAAATTCCAAGCTAGGAGACAAGGACACTCTACGTAGCCTATTCTGCACTCTCCTTGTAGTTTGGCATCTGTCACCTCCAGAAGCAGCTCAGCTCCACGGACTCAGACCCAGTTCTCCCAGTCCTCTTGAAAAATACATCCTGCTCCTCTCCTGAGATGCCTGGCAGAGGAGGCAGGGCCCTGTGCTGCACACTCAGACTGCTCCCTGGCACAGCGCAGCCAGGGTGACAGACAAGTGACCTGACTGGACAGCAGACCCTCAACTTGCTCCTTTCACCTCCTCCGTTCTTCTCCCTGCTGCCATCAGCTGTAAAACTGAATTTGTAACTATTTATTTTTAATAAAGTCTAATATCCCAGGGGGAGGTTTGGAAGCAAAGGAGAGACCCCAAGGCTGAAGCCTGGTATAGAGACTGATGAGAATTATTAGTGCTGGTGTTTGCTATTTGTATGGCATTGGTGCCTGGAAGCTCGACCATGAGGGCTCCCTTGTTCTGGGCCTCTCTGGCAAAAACCTACAATAGGAGGCTCAGAGAATTTGTTTGGGGAGAAGATCATACAAAATGGAGGGAGGGAAGCATTTGCATTAAAATTACCAGTAGGATGGGTCAAACAATCCTGCTTGTTTTGGAGATAATGAGAGTTTTTCTCAGGGAAGGGTTATAGATATGCTTGATGAAGAGGCAGAGATGTGCAAAACATTGTTCTAGGTATAAGACTCAAAAAAAAAAAAATCAAACCCCTCTTTTTTTGTTAGAAGCAAGTAAGAACTAGGGAAAATGAGGGAGGGCATCAACCAGAGCTAGATCTGTAACATCATTTTGCTGCCATTTCACAAAAGATGCAAAAATCTGGTAATCTTTCTCTTTAGGAGCAGCAGAATCACTGTCAAAACTGTAGATGATATGAGGACAGAAAGACAAACAGGTAGCTCAGAAAGCTGCTCTGGGCACCCAACAGTTGTGCTATGTGGGGAATGGCTGAAGAAATTATGTCCCACCCAACCCCTGATTTACAAAGCAGAAAAACAGCATCCCTATATCAATTTGGAATTGGTTCAAGAAGCAAGAGGAAAGGGGGAAGAAGCAGAAGGGGAAGGAAGGAAATAGCAGGAGTGAGAGGAAGAAGCAGGCACAGCAGACAGGCGGAGGAGGAGGAAGGGAAAAAGAAGAGAAAGTGAGGTAATATGGGAGTGCATTTGAGAAAGAGCAGGGATAGACTAGTAAGACAGGACTAGACCCAGACGTGGCTATTTCTCATCCTGGCACATAGGTTCTGTGGGGGGACAGCTGCCCTGCACGTGTTTGCTCTGCACCCAAGCAGTGATCTGACACCTTTGGGAAGCCTTGCCAAGAAGGGCAGAGGATCTGGCAGGAGGATGAAAGAGCAGACAGGTGACAATCAAAGAGCAGAGCATCAGGACAGAGGGGAAAGGAAAGGCATCACTCCTGATTCCTCCCTCTCCTCCTGTTGGGCACAGAGTGGGGACTGGAGCTTGTGGATCCTGGTGCCTCCTGTTTTTTCCCATGTGTGACATGATAAGCAGCCTCATTTTTCCATGTGTGTCCCTCTCCTGCCTCTCCTCCCCGTTGCTAGTCAATGAAGTCACTTCCTCCTTTTATTATTTATTTTCCCCAGAGAAAGTGAATAAGCAGGGCCTGGTATTGACCTGGTTTTTAATACAGCTTTCAGCCCTGGGTGCCTGCCACTGGCCATGGCAATGGAAACAAACTAATGGACCAAGTGAGAAGCACTCTGTGTACAAGGACACAGGCATCCAGGACACAGACTGGGGTGGTGGCCTCCAGGACAGGGGGAACCCACGTGGCTGGCAACCTCCTGCCAAGTTAGAGCATCCTTTGGAGGTGGGTGGCAGCACTTGGTGGGCCTGTTAGCTCTTGGGACATTCATCTCCAAGGAGCAAGTGCCCAGGAAAGCCAGGCAAGGATGGGGCAGCTAAGGTGCACCAGGGCCATTGGCACTCACAGCTAGAATGGTTGAGGCAGCACACAGGCCAGCACTGCCACCCCATGCTTCAGCTGGAAGGGCTCTTGGGGGAAAAATGGGAAAAGGTTGCAATAAGGCTAAGGGAACAAGCATCATGCTGGTATCTGGGCTCACTCTATGTGTTTGAACCTGCTGGCCCTTTTCATGTCATGTTTGGCATCACGGTGGAGAAGACATTGAGGCATTGAGGAAAACCCAGCTAAACCCCTGCAGTTCACAATAAAATTCAGAGTAACCTGGCAATGCTGTCATATCGTTAGACAGGATAGAGAGCTGAGGAGGACCCAAGGGAGAGAAGAGGGGCAGGGGGGAGATGACAGAGGGAAGGAGAGGAACAGCCAGAGTGCAGGACAACAGAGGTGATGGTAAACTTTTGCCCAGCAAGCGTTCCTCCTGCAGCTGTGCTTATGTTGCCAAAATGGCACGTTCCTTGGGCGCACATAGTTCATCCAACAGCTTGGTGCAGTCACTACTCCCAGTAAAAAGTCCTCTTCTGCCTCTGCAAGCTGCACACATGCCCACAAGCTTTGCAGATACACAGTGGTACATACATCCTTTTGCACAGGTACTTCTGTACCTGCAGGCTTGAATCACGGAGTACTTGTGCCCAAGTACATACTGCATGTGCCTACACACATATGCCACACATGGGGGCATAACCCATCCTATACCACAACTTCATCCCACAAACACCCAGCAACATACACACAAACACCATGCAACAGTGTCATCTATCTCAAAAAGCGCCTCTCTGGCTGTATGCTGGGGACTCCTTTGCGCAGCCCGTGAAAGACCACCAGGACAATCCACCTTAGAAGGTTATTTTCTATAAAGAAGACTGGATGTTTTTAAGGAGTCTGCAAATCATCTCTCGAAGTCATTCACAACCATAAACACACCTGATATTTTGGCTTTTGCATGTGGTATGTGGAAGCATCACCCTTCAGGTAGGTGACACTTTCATGTCCTGTGCTCTCCAGAGAAGACACCTCTGTTGCACACCAGGGCATGATGTCCCTGGGCTCTCTACCTCCTCCAGGATCTGACAGAGGGACTGCTTCCCCAAGACCTACCCCTAATCATGATGGGCTGGAAGCTTGCTTTTCAGGATGACAACACTTCTTTGTTTATCTGTCCACAACCTATATTTCTTTCCTGTCTTACTTCTGAATTATTTCCTTGGCTTATTATTGAAAGCTATTCAAATACCAGAAAGATAATGAGGAGAGGAAGGACTTTTTCCCTATGAATAAGATCCAGGCACTGGTTCAGATCCTCCACCCCATGACAACTAACTAGGCTGCTGACACCCTTGCCAGCTTTTGGATGGATGTTGTTGTTTTAAATGACATTTGAGAAACTTGTTTCATGTTTTATTTTTGGTAACACTTTTGGACAACCCTTTTGAAAAGAAACTGTCATTGGCACCTTTCAACTCACCCAAAACTTGCTCAGCAAAACATTTTGATACACACTGCAACTAAAAATATTTTAAAGAAACACAACAATAATCTCAAATGGGTTTGGATTTCCGTGATCAGGAAATGGTATTCAAAATGTCTGTGCTGCTCAAAAAACGCCTCCCTTTTCAACCAGCTCAGCTTCACCTAGGTTTTGCTCAGGAGCAGAGCAGGGCACATGGTGCTACCCCAGCAGCTGCCCTCAAGCTTGTGACCTATGCGTGACAAAATGCCTTCTCTGCTCTCTTGGAGCTTTAGCAGCCCTTCTTTGCCTTTGCAGGAGGGGCTGAGGTCTCTGCCAGCTTTTGGACATGCAATAATATCAAGAGGCATGGTTTTAAATGTCACCATAAACCCCCCACCCCAACAAACTCAAACAGAAAAAAAGCGCCTTACCTCCCCAGGCCATTAAAGGCTTGCACTTTCCCCCACGAAGTCAATGGGACTTTTGCCATTGCCCGTGGTAAGAGCAGAGTTGGGCCCTAATGGAGCACCACTATTGGAAAACCCCGCAGGCGCCAGCCCTGTGCTAGATCTGCAAAGTTGGGACAGCATATTGCTGGCTGCGCAGGAGGGGGAGAAGAGGGAAGGCAGCCTGCTGGGATGCTGAAAGCATGGGGTGGCTGGGGTAAAGGGGTCAGCAGAGGGATGGGGAGGCAGGGGGGGCAGTCCGTCGACGCAGCCGCCCATGGCAGGGTATCCCCCGGCCGGAGGATGTCACACCACGAGGAGCTGAGACGGTAGCCACTTCTTGGGGGGGTTACACAAGCTTCTCCTCCTGTCATGGTCAGCAGGGTGGGGGTCCTGCCCTCCCCAGCCCCTCTGCGTCCTCGCCGGCAGAACGCAGCGCAGGGAGGCTGAGTGGCGGGAAACAATCTGGAGGAGCCGGGCTCTTGCCCGGCCTGAGAGCACCATCTAGAGATGAAAGCAAGGCTGACATCCCCGCAGGTCCCGGCGTCCCCGCAGGTCCCGGCCCCCCGGGCTGGCCCAGTGCTGCCGCCGGCCCCAACACTTGCGTGACACCGCGGGGATGGGCTGGGGCTGGCTCCCCGGGCAGTGCCGGGGGTCAGAGCTGGGGGTCGACAGTGGAAACGTTTGGTCCTGAGGGAAGGCAGGCTCTGAGAGGACCAGCACCGACCACCAATGCTGTGCCCATAACCTGCAATAAAGGTCAGCCCGCCTGACAGTCAGGCCACGGCTTTTGCAGAGAGGCCACTGACCCTGAAAACAGTTCAGATATGTGTTACCACTTTGATTTCTTTTTGGGAAGAAGCCTGCAAAGCCGTGTCAGCCCTAGGAAGTTCGGCAGAGACGACCTTGGTTCAGAGTCAGGTCCTGGTGGCTACCTTGCTGACTGCTTGTCCCTCAGTTGTCTCACAGCCCTGCCTGGTTGCATGTGTTTGATGTATGACATTTCCCCTTTTTTTCCTGGTATTCAGTCCCTTGATAGTGCACGCACAACTTATGGCTGTAGCAGGGTGCTGCTGCCTGTCCCCTGCCACAGGCAGCCAGCCAGCACTCTCCCCTAGGTGGAGGGGGGCAGTGAAACTGCATGGAAGCAGAAAAATGTCCCATTTGAATGTGTCCTTGCCAGCGTGAGGGCTCTCAGGTAGAGGGTTTGCGATGCAACAAGAGCTCTTCTAACAACCAACCTTTTCATACCCTCTTGAGACATTAGATGATGACAGCCTGGCTTGCAAACTGTACAGAGCCTTGGCACCTGGTCTTCTTCCAGTTCCCAGGGAAAGCCACACAAGAAGAGCAGTTAGTGGGCCATCAGCGTATTGCTTTCCTTTGAGCACATCCCCTCCAGAAGGAAGCATTTAGTGGGGGCAATGCCTCTGCTCTCTGGCCATCCTGGGCACCCAGACCCCAAGCAACTTGCTATCAAAGTCAGGTCAGTGTGGAAAGAGGAAGAGTGGAAAGATGTGATTTCACTGCTCTGATGCCTGCGAAGAAATTCAGGATGAACACAAACACCATCCTGAAATAGTCTGTGAGACACTGGATATTTGAGCTTTAGAAATTTTTTTGTCTCTGAAATTAGCAGGATTATTTTGGTGCTGGCCCCAGATTTGAAATAGTACGTCTGAAACCTGGGACCTGGTAGTATTTGGGTCCCAGGCTGTAATGCATTGATAGAGTTGTTTGAATGTCCCAGTGCTACAGTCACTGAAAGAGTCAGCTGGAAGGCCTGTTCGATATAAAGCCTTGTTACAGAAGCTGTGCAACTGAGAGAA